TTGTTCGCTCCTCACTTGCTTTTTGATAACGTACTTGCTTGTTTATTTATGTTTATATTTATTTGCAATATACTACGGCGAATATTGTTATTGTTATTTACATTAGGCGATATTTGATAGGGGATCCTCGCCTCTTTTGTTGGCCCCGGAAACCCGAGGAGCTATCGCCGTAACCAGCGACGTTATTATATTATTGTATTATTATATTGAGATAATTACATCCTCGAGCTCTTAATTATCTAGTTACTCTATTATTCCTAGTTACGGGGAGTTTAATCTGTCAGAAATGTTACCTTTTGTTTTTTTCTGATTACTTGTACTCATTTTTAAGGAAAAAATAGAGTTTACATGAGCTGCGAAAAATTTTCGATAAACATTCATGAGACAATTTAAATTAGATCGCCACATATTCATAAATTGCCATTTATATGGCAGATTTAGAATATATGGCCATATATTCATAATTTGTCATATACATAGCAAATTTTTAACATATGGTCATATATTCATAATTTGCCATATATATGGCAAATTTATAATATATGGCCATATATTCATAATTTACCTTTAATATATGTGACAAATTTTCATATATGGCCAAATACTCATAAGTTGCCATATATATGGCATGCAATTGGCCATATATATAGCATACAATTGGCCATATCCTGTCAGAAATGTTATCATATATTTTTTTCTGATTCATATTATCATATATTTTACTCATTTATATAGGAAAAATAAAGTTTATTTGAGCTGACAAAAATTTTCGATATTTATGAAAATTAGATTTAAATTAGATAGCTTTATATTCATTATTTGCCATATATATGGCAAATTTTTAATGTGATTACACATGGTCAGTTCTTATGTAAGGCAAGTATTTACATTATATGGCCACATGGCCATATATTCATAATTTGCCTTATATATGACATTATATGGCAAATTTTTTAATTGCTCGTATATTGTTAGTTTTTATGTTTGGTCAATTTTTCATATATGGGCATATACTAATAATTTGCCATATATATGGCAAATTTTTATTATATGGCAATATATTCATATTTTGCCATATATATGGTATATAATTAGCCATATCCTGTCAGAAATGTTATCATATATTTTTTTCTGATTTTTTGTACTAATTTTTATGGGAAAAATGAAGTTTACTTGAGCTAACGAAAATTTTCGATATTTATGAAAATATTTTAATTAGATAGCTATATATTCGTTATTTGCCATATATATAAGGCAAATTTTTAATGTGATTACACATGGTAAGTTCTTATGTAAGGCAAGTATTTACATTATATGGCCATATGGCCATATATTCATAATTTGCCTTATATATGGCATTATATGGCAAACTTTTAAAGTGATCGTGTATTGTTAGTTCTTATGGATAGTCAATTTTTTATATATCTCCATTTACGCATAACTTGCCATATATATGGCCACATAAAAATAATTTTAATGCATAGAAATTTTTTTATATGATCAATTTTTATGTATGACCCATATATGGCCATATGTTTATAATTCGCCATATTTATGGCTTTATATGGCAAATATTCAATGTGATCATATATGGTCAATAATTATATATGTGACCATAGATTCCAAATTTCTATACATGGCTACTTATGACGAATTTCAATATATGGCCAATTTTTTATAGGATCATATACAGCCATATTTTCATAATTTGTCATATATAAGGCCTTACATGGCAAATTTTCAACATAATAATATAACGCAATTTTTATGTATAGCAAATTTTCTTTTAAAAAAAATTTTGATCTAAAATTAATCAAATTTATTTTTGATTTAAAATTATTACATAAAATTGAAAAAAAAGTTTTAATCTACAATTAAAAAAACATTTTTTTTGAGATTTTAAAATTGATTTATCAGTGAAAAAAATTGATTTAACTTGTACTGTTAATATAAATTTATTTAACAGAAGTTTATCTGTTTTATTATTTACAACTTTGTGTGTTTTTCCACCGAATAATTTAATTTAGCTATAAAAATATTAGGGTTTATTTTCGTATGGAGATTTCCAGTCGTTTTGTGGTTTCCGATAGTTACGATAAATTTCCAGTCTTTGGTATTTGCCAGATTACCCAAGTGTGAGCATATGTGAGCATATATGTGTATATGTTAGTGTTTGTAAACTTTGTTCCCATGTCCCATTTCAGCCAGGTTGAGCTTTTGTGTGCGTCTAATGCTCCGCATCTGCTTTGTTTGAAGCTCATAAACACACGTTGAAAACTTTTCGCGCTTTACAAATAATTTTATACATTTTATTTTCTTAATAAATATTTTTTATTTTACTCGAAAAAACTTCACTGGGTAAACTTCACTGTAAGCTCAAGCGCGTGTTCATACTTTCTTATTTGAGATAAATTTTAAAAATAAAATCAATTTACTGTTGAAATAACATTTTTAACTTCCCGCTCAGAAAATTAAAAATTTTCAATAGTTAGGAAGTTATTGGTTTACTCAATTTTTTGAAAATCGAGTTTCTAACGGATGTTGACGTTTTGAAGTTCTAGGAAACTGTAAACTGCTTTTAACGTTTGAGCTGTTTCACCGATTGGAACCAAACTAGTGACATTTTAAAGAGTGCCATCAAACTTAGATTTTCTGTTATTTTGAAATGGACTTCAGGGTCAACCATTTCCCTATTTTTTTTACGAATTTCAATGAATATAACACTTTTTTGCCTTACCGAAGTTTCTTGTTTAAAACTTTTTTTTTTTTTAAGAAATTTTTACCAAGAAGTGGTGATATTCATCATGATATTGATGATATTAATACTCACAATCATGACAATATCGATATTCACCATGATACTTTAATTGATATTTTTCAGGATATTGATAACCACATAGTGATTTTATTTTCACCATGATAGTTGGATCGATATTTATCATGATGTTGATATTCATCATGATATTTATAACTTTTATATTCACCATGATATTGATATTTGCCATGATAATTTCATTGATATTCACAAAGATGATATTAAGATTCATTATGATATTGTTATCGATATTCACCATGATAATTCTATTGATATCATGATATTGGTAGCGATATTCATCATGTTATTTTGTTGATATTTACCACGATGATGATATTGATATTCATCATGATATTTATAACGATGATGATATTGATATTCATCATGATATTTATAATTTTGATATTCACCATGATATTAATATTTGCCATGATAATTTCATTGATATCCACAAAGATGATATTGAGATTTATTATGATATTGATATCGATATTCACCATGACAATTCAATTGATATTCATCACGATATTGATACTTACCATGATAATTTGATTGATATTAACAACGGCAATTAAATTTTTAATAATACAAAACTTTGAAATAAATTAATCAAGTTATAAGCCTGGTTTATGAACTTTTATTACATTTTTTCTACTAAAGACGTGATTTTTCCCATCGATAATCAAAGAATCCACTTGATTGAAAAAAAAAAATATTACCTTAACATTCCGGCCTAGCGTATCAATAAAAAGACGGTCTAATTTATCCTCAAATAAAAAAGCGTCAGACCCATAAAGATGAAGATTAATAGTAATTCTGGATTCCTCCGGATAGGACTAGAGCTTCAGCAAACTATCCACTCAATAAATTTATTTCTCACAAGAGTTAATTAGAAGGAATAGAATTGAGTGGATCGATCAGAAGCGTTCTCGACGTCGACAATTACATTTTCCGTCGCTTTTTCGTTTTATTGACGGCGGGCGCTACCCTCTGCAGACACAAGTTAAATAAACAAAAAATAAAACAGAACAAGACAATTCAGTACTGTAGAAAAAGTTTGCTCGAATTTAAGAGGCTACAGGGTATAGTGTCTATACACTCCAGCTTCCGTGCCACCAACTTTATTCCCACGCGGATCAGATCACACTTTTTCACTCTGAACCCCGCAACGGATCCGAGAAACAGAAAAACCTACGAAATAAAATTAAGTTCCAGGATGATTAGTTTGGGCCAGGTCGTGATCCCGAGGGGAGTCCTTGATCCATCTGCAAGTTGAAGTACAGCTTGGCCGAGTTTTTGTGGACTATCACCTCGCGGTCATTTTTATGCTCCAAAAACTCGTCGCTCGGTGATAAAGAGATTTCACTGAAGGTTGGAGTGCGTAATTGTAATAAAGAATCCAAATTTAGAGACCTGTAAAACAATATTTTTTCATCTTCGTAACTTCCTTCGGGTGGAAAAATTTCCCGGTCGATTATTTCCTTGGTCATCTATTAAAAAAAAAATTTTTTTAGATATTAAATATTAGAATGATGAATAACAATGTCTAGTAATATGATAAATATCATCATTATCGTCATGGATATGATATTTTTCATCATAGTAAATATCAATATCGTCAATAACACGATCCATATCAATATCAATATCACCATCATCATCATGAATATCATTATCATCATCATGAATATCATTATCATCATCATGAATATCATTATCATCATCATCATCATGAATAACATCATCAATAAAATAATGAACATCGACAATATCAATATTATGATGAATATCACAATTATCATTCTGATGAATATCATTATCATCATGGTAAACATCATTATCATCACGATGAATATCATTAACATCATCATGAATATCAAAAATCATCAATAAAATAATGAATATCGACATTATCAATATCATGATGAATATCACAATTATCATCATGATGAATATCATTATCGTCAACATGATTAATATTGACATTGTCATCATGATAAATATCAATATCACCAATTGCATGATGAATATCATTATCATTATGATGAATATCATCATGATGAATATCAAAATTATCAATAAAATAATGAATATCGACATTATCAATAACATGATGAATATGACTATCATCAATATGATATATATCAATATTGATTTTCCAAAAAATTTTTATTTAATAACCTGTTCATTGATTTTTTTCCATCGCTTGCAAAGTGAATGATAAATAGCAATATCTTTGTTGAGTTTTCTAACAACATCCTCAAGTTCTTTTTTTTTTCTAGACAAGTCATTTTCATTCTATATTTAAAAAAAAATTGATTACTCCATGAAATTAATTTACGAAGAAAAAAGTTTTAGCGTGGTGACACGAAGTACTTGTTGGTTTTAATTTACTAAAATTTTCTACCGATGAAAAACATGACAGATGAAAGTTTTAATCTCGAAAAAAAGGAATTGAACTATCGAACCGAAAAAATAAAAAATGAATACGAAGAAGAGTAAATTATTGAAAAAAAAAAAAATTCACTTTGACTTGTAGAAAGTTTTCTTTCCTCAGCCGGAGTTCTTCTGGTGGGCGAGTCACTCCAATCGGGCGGGTGATTTTCTTTGATGTTTCCATAACGTCTCTCGGTTCACTGTAATCTTTTTCTTCGGCCGTGTCATTTGTTAAGTGACGTCGTTGTGGTTTATCGATTATCCCCTTCGGAGTCTCATTTAACGGCAACTCGAACAACGCTCTTTGTACAAGCCTCATTGATATTTTATTATCACTTTTCATTTCCCTTCGCTTTGATACTCTCAATGATTTATTGGGGTTCGGTCTTCGCGATCGTGAGCTTTCAACAACTGAAAATCGATTGAATAATTAATTTTCATAATAAACTTTCAAAGTTCAATGTCTGTATTATTATGAATATCATTACAATGAATATTAATATCATCATCAATGTCATGATGAATATCAATAATAATATCGTCAATGTCATAATAAATATCAATAATAATATCATCAATGTCATGATAAATATCAATAATAATATCATCAATATCATCAACAATATTATAATCATGATGAATATTAGTTTTAAATTTAATATCATTATCGATGTCATCATCAATACCAATGTAATGATAAATATCAATAATATCATCAATTTTATGATAAATATCATCAACAATATCATATAACTGGCATGATGGATATCAATATCATTATCATCATCATTACTAATATGATGAATATCATCAACAATATTGTAATCATGGTGAATATTAGTTTCAAAATTAATATCATTATCGATATCATCATCAATACCAACATCATCAATGTCATGATGAATATCAATAATAATATCGTCAACGTCATGATAAATATCAATAATAACATCGTCGATGTCATGATAAATATCATCAACAATATTATAATCATGATGAATATTAGTTTTGAAATTAATACCATTATCGATGTGATCATCAGTGTCATGATGAATATCAATTATATTATCATCAATGTCATGATAAATATCAATAATATCATCAATTTCTTGATAAATATCATCAACAATGCGATAATCATGATGAATATTAGTTTTAAAATTAATATCATTATCGATGTCATCATCAATGTCATGATGAATATCAATCATAAGATCATCAATGTCATGATAAATATCAACAATATCATATCACTGGCATGATGAATATTAATATCAATATCATCAATACCAATGTATAATGAATATCAATAACAATATCATCAATTTCATGATAAATATCATCAACAATATTGTAATCATGGTGGATACTAGTTTTAAAATTGAAAGCATTATCGATGTTATCATTAATACAACATCATCAATGTCATGATGAATATCAATAACAATATCATCAATGTCATGATAAATATCATCGACAATATCCATATCATTGACATGATGAATATCATTGTTATTATCATGATGAATTATAAAATCTTTATTATAAAAAATATAATTATCAATGTTCATTATTATAATGAATATCAATATCATTAGCATAAAGAATATCAATGTCAATATTAATTTTAAAAAAAAGAGAAAACATGCAGTTAAACTTGTCAAATCTCCAGAACAAAAAAACTATATCTCCCATCACTTCTTAAGTGAGAACATCCTTTATCAAAAGAACTTGACAAAGGAATTGACTGAAAAAAAAAGTCCCGATAGATCAGACACAGATCATAAAAACGTATAACTCGAGCATCGATTCTCTTGTAACCGAGAATATATATCTCTGGTAAAAGTGTATAATGACAATAGTTATCCTCCTCCAACGAATTTTCGTTTCCCCAATTTCTTCAGTGTCATTAACACTATCCTTCATCCCCTTGTTCGAGCAATGTTGAAAGCCGCTCAAAGGTTCATTCAAGTGGGATAAAGGTTTTGACGGTATCAGACCATTCAAGGTATCTATTACGTGACTTTGACAATAGATATGCTTTCGGTTTTACAATCAATAACGTTAGAATTCAAATTAAATTTAATTAAATTTTAATTTACCTCTTTTCCATCTGGGAACTTCTCGTCCTGGCAATTTTGCTCCGGCTCCGTTGCCCGGCTACTCCCCCGTCAGACCAATCAATTATTGAAGTAAGTAGTTGTCTTAATCATTACTTATAATTGTATTTATTATATACTATAATTTAATCATAAATACCTGCAAGAAATATTTGTTGCCGTGATCAAACGCTTCTTCTAATTTAGTTCGACGAGTAAAAAACTGAATTGCTTCAACAATTGCCATAATTACATCTAAACTCTTTTGAATCGCAGCTTGCCACCATAATGCCTTTCCGAGTATGTCGACAAGCCATTTTATCCAACCGCTTACTTTGCTTGATGAGACTCCTAACCACTGTTTCATTCTTAATTGTACTTCACTGTTGATTAATAAAAATTGTTTTTTTTTTCACTTTAACGAAAATTTATAATTACAATCAAATTATTGACATTGATAATAATATTCATTATGATAACGGTTTTCATCACGATAATGATATCCAGCATGATAATGATATTCACCATGATGATGATATCCATCATGATAATGATATTCATCATGATGATAATGATATTCATCATGATGATAATGATATTCATCATGATGATAATGATATTCATCATGATGATAATGATATTCATCGTGATGATAATGATATTCATCATGATGATAATGATATTCATCGTGATATTGATATTCATTATGATATTGATATTCATTATGATAATGATATTCATTGCCAATCATGGTACTGATATTCATTATGCAAATGATGTTTATCATGAATCATTTTAGTAATATCTATTGTGTATCATGATGGTGGTATTCATCGTGATAGTGATATTCATCACTAATCATAGCACTGATATTCATCAGGCAAATGATATGGATCATGAATCATTTTTTTAATATTCATCATGTATCATGAATCATGATACATGATTCATTATGTTGATATTCATCATGTTAGTGATATTCATCATCAATCATGGTACTGATATTCATCATGCAAATAATATTTATCATGAATCATTTTTGTTATATCCATCATGTATCATGATGATGATATTCATCATGAATCGTGATATTGATATTGATGTTAATCATAAATCATGATATTGTCATTGTTCATAAACCATGTTAACGATATTCATCAAGATAAAATTTGTAGTTTTTATAAAATAAAAAATAAAATTTTAGGCTTAGCATGATTTACGACAATGTTTTTTAACATTATTGATATATGTATACATATATGTTATGATAAAAAAATATAATAAATAATAATGAATAAACCTTGTATCAATCTTACGCAAAAAAGGTAGCGTAGAAATTTTTATCAGATTTAACACGGCGATATCTGATTGCCGGTGAATCCTCACGTCTTTTCGATAAATCCCTTAGCCGTACATGTGCCTAGCGAATCTTGTTATCACGACGTGACTTATAAATATGTGCGTCATGCAAGATTAAATGTAACTAGCTCTGAATATGAAAAAATTATTTTTTATTTTTAGATGCTGCGAGTGAGTTATTATTTTTTTGTCCAATGTCAAATTTATTTATGATGACCGGAATTTTTATTATTGAGAGATATAAATAAGCACTTGATGTCACAAACCAAAAGATCTTGAGTGAGACATCTTGATTAATTTAACAGATTTATCAAAAATATTATTATGTATTACTCATACACTGAATTTAAAATAACTTTTATTATTTTTTTTATTTTTAGTCGAAGGAAAAACTTAAATAATTTTTGACAGTTTTCGCGTGAAATGTTCTGGTAGTGAACAAACGTTTACATTGTTTAGAATGGATGTTAACTCATTGTATCATAATGTCTACATTATGCATAACACGTTAATGTACACACATACACATTGTATACCAATACATTGTACTCACGCTTTCGGTTGCATCCTAGGGTGTATTCCAAGTTGTTCCAATGATGGACTTGGGACGAGATCCACTGGCATCTCATTTTCTGAGCCTTTGTTAATGCTTCCTCTGCTGGTATTATTTGTCTCTGGTCTCTACAAACGAAATAACTCTAATGTACTTTCATCGCTCCGACACTCAAGGAAACGTTTTACTCTAATTACTTTTTTTTTTGCTCTAATTTGTTTAGTTTTAATGTAAAGTAACTTTATTTTTGTTTTGAATTTAAAGTGAAAATAATATTGATAGTAGTGATGTTATTGATGATGATATTCATCATGATAATAACGATATTGATAATGTTTATATTATTCTTGATAATGATATTTATCACAATACTGATAATATTGTTAATGTAATTGAAAATGATCATAATGTCGATATTCATCATGCTCGTGATGATGATATTCATTATGATACTGATAATGATATTCATCATGAAACTAATCGCATTGGTAATGTTATAAATATTTTCAATGACATTGATCTCGATATTGATATTCATCATGATACTGATAATGATATTCATCATGAAACTAATCGCATTGGTAATGTTATAAATATTTTCAATGACATTGATCTCGATATTGATATTCATCATGTTACTGATGATATTGTTAATAATATTAAAAATAATCGTATAATGATCATGATCTTGATGATATTAATATTACTATAATTGAGAATGATATTGATTTTGAAATTGCTGATAATACTGATGATATTGATCACGGTAATATTGGTTTTGAAAATAACATTCATCATGACATTAATAATATTGATGTTCATCATGCTCGTGATAATGATATTCATCATATTCTTGATAATAATGTTCATCATGATACCGGTAATATTAACATTATCAATATTAATATTGCTATCCATCATGATACTAACATTATTGATAATGATAATTATAATGTTAGCATTCTTGATGATATTCATCATGCTTGTGATATTGATATTTACCATGCTCGTGATATTGATATTCACCACGCTCGTAATAATGATATTTATCATGATATTGATGATATTGATAACGATATTCATCATGGTACTGATTAAACTTTCAATATTATTGATGACATTGATCTCGTCGGTATTGATATTCATCAGGCTCTTAATGATGATATTCATCATGAAACTAATCGCATTGATAACGTTGTAAATATTTTCAATGTCATTGATCTCGATATTGATATTCGTCATGATACCAATGATATTGTTAATGGTATTGATATTCATCACGCTCGTGATAATGATATTCATCATGTTCTTGATAATGATGTTCATCACATCTTGATAATGATGTTCATCATGATACCGGTAATATGAACATTATCGATATTAATATTGATATCCATCATGATACTAACATTATTGATAATGATAATTATGATGTTAGCATTCTTGATGATATTCATCATGCTCGTGATATTGATATTTACCATGCTCGTGATATTGATATTCACCACTCTCGTAATAATGATATTCATCATGATACTGATAATGATATTCATAATGTCCTTCATAACATTGATAACGATATTCATCAGGATATTGATAATATTATTCATCCTGATACTGATTATAGTTTTAATATTATTGATGACATTGATCTCGTCGATATTGATATTCATCATGATACTGATGATATTGATATTCATCATGATGATAATATCAATATTCATGACAATAATACTAATTAAAAAACTAACAAAATAAAATAAAAAATAGTAAATTAAGTTTAACAGATATTCAGTGTATGTTATCTATAAATAGAGTTCGAACGAGAGTTAAAATAACTTGTCAGTGCTGTACATCCGGCTTACAATTACCCGCATGCTCGAGAATGTATAAAATTGTTATATATAGATATACCACTACTCTCAAAGTAGACCAAACAGGGCTCGATACAAGACGAATAAATAAAAAACAAAAACATATAAAAATTCGTTACTTTATTTTGTTTGGTAGATGTCATCGAATAAGTAGAAAGAGGATCCTTTGATCAGACATTTGTATCACGTATCATGCGCGTATCTGATAAATAAAACCCAAACGAATATAAAGAGTATAAGGATAAGTATGTGAAGAAATAATAATAAGGGAGGAAAGGGTTGAATAAATATTTATGAATGCAGCTGTGAAAGAGCTATACCGTTTTATTGCTGTACTTTTTCCCCTTAAATATTATATTGCTTTGTTTCTTCTTTTCGCAAGTTAACTTTACTTCAGTTTTCCGCTGAGATAAACGGACAATGACATTGTTCGACGAATAAATCCACGCGTTTCTTGGCGACCTTTTATCTTTTATGCTCTCTAGTCTTCAAAATAACGTTATTTTATGCTATTACCTCTTTTTTTTTATTATTATTCTTCTAATGCACCGACGTAACTTCGGAAATTTCGTAAACTTTTTATACTTCAATAAAAACTTTTTAAATTTAAATTATTTACTCGTTTTAGATTTCAAGGAAAAATTTTTACTCAAAGAATTTCAAGGATTATTCTTTGAAAAATATTTTTTAAATCTATCAATTTAACAAAATATCAATTTACTTGTTCCTCTCTCTGTCTCTTTTTCTCTCTCGGTCCAAAAGCCTAAAAATAATCTAAAACTGAGAATTCTTAAACCACACGACATTTATAAATCATGCCCGTGGGCGGATTTCTCAAAACTCGTGACCGTATCCTCAAAATAACCCCCAAATTTAAATATTATTTCCTTCTTCTATTATATTTTTGTATCTATTCATCCTTTCATTAACTTGTCATCAATTATTTCTCAATCCGAATGATAATAATGCTTGAATAAAAGACTTTTAAAATTAAATTTTGGTAAAATGGTAAGAGATACGGAAAAATTGATAAGCACCTTTTATGTAGAGGATTAAATTTCTAGTAAAAAAGTTTTCTTATAATATTTTTGGATTTTTAATAATTAGACCAAAATTTTGATTTTAAATTTTGGATACATAATTTAATCAAATATATTTATAAGAGAACTTTGGAATGATTTTTTGGAGAAATTATAAGAGATACATAAAAATTAATAAGGGCCTTTTATATAAAATTAAATTTCCAATAAAAAAAATTTTTTATAATTTTTTCACATTTTTAATATTTAGCCTACACAGTAAAAAATTTTCATCAAATTTAGCATAAATATTTGTATGAAAATAAATATTGAGTGAAAAAAATTCAAATAGTAACTAGTATAATCAAGATAATATTGAGTATAATCCAGATTATAATGAGTATGATCCAGATTACAATGAGTATAATCCAAATATCACTCAGTATAATCTGGATTTTTTTAGCTACTATATAAATTTTTTTCCACTACAGATATCACTGAGTATAATCCGGGATGATATCAAGTGTCATCTTGTTCTTTTCGTGTACAATGACGAAAAATTTTTTACAGTATATAATTTTAATTTTGAAGTTTTTAAACATGTAATTCAATCAAATTCTCTTACAAGAGCATTTCAAAATAAAATTTTAGCAAAATAAGATATACTAAAAAATTGACAAAAATTTTTTTTATAGAAGATTAAATTTCTAATAAAAAAGTTTTCCTATAATTTTATGTATTTTTAATAATTAGACCAGAATTTTGATTTTAAATTTTGGATACATAATTTAATAAAATATTTTTAGCGAAATAAGAGATACTAAAAAATTGAAAAAATTCTTTTGATAGAAGATTAAATTTCCTACAAAAAAAGTTTCTTATAATTTTTCCGTATCTTCAATACTTAACCCCAAAAATAACTTTCAAAGTTTAAGACTCCAATAATAATTAGTATTATTATAATTTGTGTATAAAAAACTTTAAATTGATAATAATAATAATAGCCAGAGTATGCAAGCTCGTCATCTCAAAAGAAGAAGAAGAAGATAAAACGAGCTTACGTCCGCAAAGAAGGTAACGAGACGCAAGAGGCGGCCGCCAGAAATAACCAATAAGACATTCACTCGAAGACGGACGGCCATCCGGCCCGGACGAACCGCGGTGCGTTTTATTATTACCAGCCTCATCTATTTATTCGTCCCTCCTTTCCTCCTTATCACTTACCACGGATTACACACCATTTACGCAATCTCGATCTCAATCTCCATTGACACCCGTATCACCGATAATCCTCAGCTCAGATCAAATCCCGAAATTCCCCTCAAAAGTGATTAATAAAAATTAACAATATCGCTATTGGATACACAACATGTACGTGCAGTGCTAATTATCGAGTGCATCTAATTATAAGTGTTAGATAATCGTCTAATTCTTATCCTTACTTAAAAGTTCGTCAATTTTAACTTCTGTGACAGTGCAGTGCGTCAATTTTAGTTGTTTTTCTTTTTAAAGATTTCAATTTCGCCTTTTTTTCGCTTAAAAACACCAAAATTCCCGAAATCTCTCGGTCTCGACAAGATGGCGGTCGCGCGCGAAATGGCGCGCGAAAAGGCGCGAAATTCAAATTTAAAATTATATTTTCTTCGTCTGGAGTTATAATTAGGGCTGCAAGTTAGGTATTAAGTGTTTTGTGTTAACTTAAACAGATAAAGATGTAAATGAACACGTTGATATATTTGTATTTATATATATATTAGAGAAAGAGGTGCAGAATTAGACATGTGTGCTCTAATATGGCTACTGGTGTCCAATTACTAGTGGTCTGTCTTCCGTACTGATTCTATTACCATCGCTCGAGCAATGAGAGCGTCGGTAGCTAAGTTATCGGTTCACTGCTTGAACATATGCCCTCGCTGAACACTATTTCGAATGTAATTAACGCATCAACTGTTATGTGGATGTACATGTTAGATATTTGCTAGTAGTTTAACGATTTTGTACGTAGAATGAAACTCTCCGGGGATAGCGATCGCAGGTTCCGCTAGTATGTGTTGTATATATATAAATAGATAGACATAGATATCTCTAGTTATTCTGATGTGTGTGCCGTGACTAGTGACACCCTCGGGTTTATCGCTTGCCGATAGATGACGTTCAAGTCAATCATGTACGGTGACGTAACACTTTAAATTAAATTTAGATTTATTTTTGGAGAAAGTATTCATTTTTTTAATTTTAGTTACTTTCTATTTTGGTAATTTGACTTCGGGATGGAAAATTTTTGAAGCATAGAATTTTTTTAAGGTGAAAAAAAAATTATTAAAAATTATTTTGAGTTTGATCAATTTTGAAATTAATTTTTTGAGAAATTATAAGAGTTACAGAAAAATTGGTGACCTTTTTTTGTAGAGAATTAAATTTTATAAATTATCTTATAATTTTTTCGTATTTTTTATATTTACACCAGAATTTTGATTTTGAATTTTGGAAACATCGGATTGAATTAAATTATTTTAATAAAAGAATTTTAAAATTAATTTTTTGAGAAATGATAGAAGATACTTAAAAATTGATAAGAAATTTTTTTGTAAAGAGTTAAATTTCCTAAAAAAAAAAATAATTTTTTCGTATTTTTAATACTCACACCAGAATTTTAAATTTAAATTTTGGACACATGGGATTAAATTAAGGGGTTACATGGGTTTCCTCCGGAAAAAAATGGCTTATTTTCAACAATACTTTTTAATAGAAAAAATGAAATATTTTATCCAAATTTTTTACTGTCTTAAAGATACATATTTAATAAAGGATTACTGAAATTAAAAAAAAAAATATTAAAAACTCTGCTAATGATCATCAAAAATGAAAAAAAAAATATATGCTTCAGTTAAGACTTTAAATTAGGTCTTAAACGAAGGAAAAAAATGAAAATTGGATTTTTGGCAGAAGATTTGACAAAAAAATTAAAAATTTGGCGGCATTTTTTTTAAATAGTTGTAATTGAAAAAAAAAAATCCTTCGTTCAAGACCTTGTAAATTATATCCTGAAGACCTGTCTGAAATTTCATCAAGATCGGTTGAGTAGTTCTCGAGAAATGTTGGTTACCGTCTTTGAAAACTTAGTTTTGAGAAAAACGCGTTTAAATTTTGGAGTGACAATACAACAGCGCCTTGAGCGCGCAATTTTTTAAAACTGTATCTTTGAAACTATTGTTCGGATCTATTTGAAACTTTAGGACAATATTCTAGAGATGTAGAATTTAATAAGACAAAAAAATCGATTTTTTGAAACCGTGAAACCCATGTAACCCCTTGAATATTTATTTGAAAAAATTTTAATATCAATTTTTTGAAAAACAATAATCCCCATGAAGAAAAAATATAAAAATAATAGATGTCGAAATACATACAAAATACATTTTAAATATATAAATATATAAAAATTATGTATAGTAAATATATTTTTAATAACTGGCTTTTGGCCGATTTTCATATATATTTTATATATTTCAAATATATTTTAGATATATTCAAAATATATTTTTTGTTATACTCGCTCCAGAAGTTCAACTTCTGAGCGCTGGGTGGCGTCCGTAAAGGGACTCTTTTCTAGAGACTCTACCATACCGTCTTTTTTTCACGGCCTAGGCCGTGAAATTTTACCCCCTCCTTTTTTTTACGAACTTTTCATGTACACCCAGACGAAATTGAGAGAGATTGTAAAAAAAAAGTCACATTCTAGCATATCGACCGATAATTTTTAGTGTTAGTTACTATTGAGTGGCGCTAATTATTTCTCTGCTGGCAGTTTATTACGAAGCGGACCTAATGTTAATAAAATAACAACAACGCCATAAATAAATACTAATAAAAAGTTATTTACATTTTCTGGACGTGAGCAAGATTTTAAGATTAATAAAAAGATAATTAATATAAAATTAATTTTTTTTGGCCTTGTGAAACTTGCTAAAATTTAAATATGTCATTATTTGCCTCCTATCCCTCAAAAGTTAAACTTATGGAGCGATAATAACAAAAAATATTGTATGTCATTCGGCCGTTTAGTGGCGATTTTGACAACGACTTTTTTTCGATATTCGCTTTAATGTTTGTGACGCGAATGTTCGAAAACGAGCGTAAATTTCCGTCCTCGGCTACGCCTTGGACGTTAAAATTGCGCCCGTTTCGAACTTTCCCGCCACAAACCTTAAGCTCATATCGAATTATCGTCGCTGTCAGAAAACTGCCACTTCACGGCCTTATGACATAAATATCTATTTTATATATTTCGACATATATATTTTTTTTTTTTCACGGGGGAAGAGGTACAAAAAAATAAATAAGGACCTTTTTTTGCAGAGAGTTAAATTTTCTAAAAAAAAGTTTTCCTATAATTATTCCGTATTTTTTATAGTTAACTTAGAATTTTAATTTTAAAGTTCTTAAACATGTGATTCAATCAAATTGTCTTATAAGTAGATTTTGAAATAAAGTTTTAGTGAAATAATGAGAGATAAACAAAAATTAATAAGGTTTTTTTGATAGAGGATTAAATAAATTTTCTACAAAAAAAGTTTCTGATAATTTTTTTTAATCCTCAATATTAAACCTAAAATTTTAACTTGCAAATTTTTCAAATTTACTTTTATTTATAAATTTTTTTTAATCATTTTCCCGAAATTTAATTTTAATTCGATGAAAAGGCTCAAAAAATAAAATAATTAACAATTATAGTCACAATAGCAATAACTAATGTATAAAAATACATTATTACTCACGTATGAATCAACATTAAGTACATTTATTCCGCCAATAAATATAAAATAATAAATAAATTATTCTCTAATGAATGAACGATCTATAAAAATCCCCCCATTGAAATAATAAATTTACCTGGGCGTAAAAAAAAAAAACAATAAAGTTAGTCCACTGGATTGAGTTAGTAACTCTTAATAAAATCTACTGTGAACAATATACAACTTGAGCGACTTTAATAAACTTTTAAACTTTTTTTCCTAATTCATTAAATTCAATCCGCTTTCGTTTTCTCGCGTCTTACATGTACCACAGCGAGTGTCACTGAACGCGCGAGAACACAATGACCTCTGGCGGCAAAAACTCCAGACATCGGATCAGGGTATATGGCCCCCCATGCGTCATTTGAACTCTATTTACATTTTTTACATCCACATATTGACAAACAAAGAGATAATTAATTAATTAAGTATATTACGACATGAGTTTAAAATTAATGCGACGCAGAAATGAATCGAGACCTCGAGAGTAATTATAATTAGCCGAGAACAAATTGACGCACTTGCCAATTCTCAATTAGTATTACTATTAACATTCTCTTCCTCGATCAATAACTTAATGAGAAACTGACAAATAGGCGCTAATATTTCATTTCAGACACTTTTACTCTTCTCATTATCACTTCTAATCATTATTATTGTTATTATTACTTGTATTTAATATTGAGTACTTAAAGTGTTGTTAATTGCAGCATCAAGCGGATTTTTTAACCGAGGAATTTAAATACCGGGGCCCTACTAAGGGGCCCCAAATTTTATTTTCCCGCCTTAAGGCGGCTTAAGGGTGAGTTTTTATTATTTTTTATTTATTTATGCATATTTTTATGGTATCATGATGAATATCATTATCAATATCAGTATCATAATCATGAATATCATCAATAATATCATTTTTATAATGAATATCACTAACAATGTCGTTATCGTGATGAATATTACTTATGATTTCATTCTCTTTATGAATATTATTGATATTATGATGAATATCACCATAGATATCAATATCATGATAATGATTATAAATGTGATTATTATTATTGCGATAAATATCACTGAATATCACTATCATGACGAATATCACTAACAATGTCGTTGTCATGATGGAGATAACATATGATCTCATTTTTGTGATAATGATAATTGATATTATGATGAATATCATCATAAATATCAGTATCATAATAATGATTAATGTGAATATTATTACCGTGATAAACGGAATATAACGGATAAATATCACTGTAAGCGAATATCACCAAAATATGATCATAATGAATATCACTGTCAATGTTATATAACATAATAAATATTATTTATATTATGAATATCATCATGGCAAATATCACTAGTAATATCATTATCATGATGAATATCTCTGTCAGTCTTAAATATCATGATAAATAACATTGTTAGCATTAATACTATTAATAGTATTACTATCATGATGAATATCACTATTGTTATCATCAATAAGATGAATTGAATATCATAATCAATATGAAAATCATGATAATTAATTTAAAATAATTTTGAGTAATTCTTTTACTGTAAATATCAGTAAATATCACTATCACGATGAATATTACTTCTAATATTATTATCATAATGAATATCCTTGTCAGTATTAAATATCACGATGAATAACATTGTTGACATTAATACTATTATTAATATTATTATTAGTATCATTATCATGATCAATATCATTAATATGATGAATATCGTCATCAATATCATGATCATGATAATTTATATAAACTAACTTTGAATAATTCTTCCACGGTAAAAGTCAGTAAATATCACTATCATGACAAATATCACTACTAATATAATTACCATGATGAATATCCCTGTCAGTATTAAATATCATGATGAGTAACGTTGTTAACTAATTTGAACAATATTAGTATCACTGTAACGATAAATATCATTATCACGAATATCACTAATGTTATCATTATTATGATGAATATCATTATTAATATCAAGATCATGATAGTTAATATAAAAAAAATTTACATAATTCGCTCATGGTAAATATCAGTGACAAATATCATGACAAATATCACTAAAAATATCATTATCATGATGAATATCACTAACAATATCATTATCATGATGAATATCATTGTTAAAATTATTAACATGATAAATATCATTGTTAGCATCACTGTAACGATAAATATCATTATCATGATGAATATCACTATCATGGATGAATATTATTATCATAGCCGGTATTCAAAAAAATATAAATAATAAAATAATTTTACTAAAACTAGATCATAAATGTCAAACAAAATAGTAAAGAAATTTTAAACATATAAATTTGAAGTTAAAAATGTCACTTCACATATCTAGCAGAATTGAAATAGAGGTCGAATAAAGAAATTTAGAAAAACGACGATAAATGTTGACTGGCAACTCGTAAAAACATGATTGAACATTCTGGACATGGTTATATCACTGTGTAACATCTGTCGTAACAAGTTTCCGGACGGTTCCTCGCTTGATTTTAAAAACTTTTTATGACAAAGGATCCTAACTTTTAATCGATATTATGAAAGCTCCATTGAATCTACACACAAATATAAATGAAAATATAGAGACATAGATATTCTATAAATGTGTGGGAGTTACTGACACGCGGTCGTATCAAGGGCAGAACGAATTGGAGTGAAAGAATGCCACTGCATGTAATCGTTCAAAAACTCCTGTTACGAGCTTGTGGAAATTGGATTTTGCGAAAACCAATTGAATTTCTCGCCTATTACGCTCACGGCCAATATAATAGCCTTCGATTTTAACGGAACTTCTCACCACGAATGATCTATTCATTATATTATATTTACGTTTTATTAATTTAAAAAAAAAAATCGGGAGTTTTATTTTTTATCAAAAAAAAAAATTAAAGACAATATCTACAAATTTTTTTATTTATCTATTATTTAAAACATCTTTGATCCCTTGATAATAGAAAGCGCGAAGGGTGCGATGATACGTGTCGAGAGTCGGGCAAAAAATAATAAAGCTGATCGCATGCCTTTGTCCGATAATAGAGAGCCGCGGCTTTACCAACTGACAAAAAATTATACCGTTTTTTCTCGAATTTTTTTCCCCAGTGCTCTGTACCTCAGACCCGGGTTTTTGTGGAATCTCTCTTATCTACCATTTTTTTAACCACCAAATAGAAATCTATCTTATGTTCATATCGAGGGAACCTTTTTTTTATACACACTTTATTTCTTTTCTTGAATTCTACTATACGAACTCATATTTATTAATTTTTTTTTATTTTATATGTCGAGTCATAAATATTCGAGTCAATTTTTAAAAATATATTTTATCATCAATCTTTAGAATTTTTATTTATTGAAAAATCAATTTTTTTATACGCTAATAATTCAATGAATTTTCTTGAAATTTCAATTATTAAAATTGAAAAAAAAAAATTTCGAGTAGATTTAAAAAAACAAATTTAATGAAAAAATATTATTAATTTATTAAATTATTTATTGAAATTAAATTCTAAACAGAGGAAAGAAAATTTTTATATTTATAATGCAATTATTAAATTTAAAATTAATTAATTCATTAAAATCGCGAGTTTGAAAGGTTCTTGGTTTTGCCACTAGATGGCCAATTTTTCTCGCTTGCTGAAAAATTTTATCAAAGTATTATTTAGTCTGAATTTTAATTAAAATTCTAATTTCAAGAGAGTTTGAAAAATACTACGTGGTAAAAATATTTAAAACTAAAATTTTGGACTAAATAATAGATATGAAAAAATGATAAAAAAGCTTTTTTATAAAATAAAAAAATTTAATTCACTTTCAAAAAAGTCCTTATCAATTTTGTCTTTTTTTTTATCATTTATCTGAAAATTTTAATTTTAAATTAAATTTTAAGTTCATTAAAATCGCGAAAATGAAAGATTCTTGGTTTTGCCACTAGATGGCCAGTTTTTCTCGCTTGCAGAAAAATTTTACTAAAGTATATAAAGCGCCCAAATTTTTTTTAATTATACTAAAAAATAGTTTAAATTCTACTCAAATGAGAACAATCTTAACAATCTAAAAAAAAAATTACTATTTTTTCAAAGTTATTTCCAATTTCTTTAAAATTAAATTATTTACGTAAACTAATGCATGTTTTGTCACTCAACAAATCTCAAATAACAAATCATGAAAAACATTTAAAAGAAAAAAACATAAACGATATTAAACATAAAAACTATACAGTTTTCTATTCCCGTCCCAAACGGTGAGAATCGTAAAAATAAGTATCTGGAGAATGGAAGGAGTTTCTCACCATGTCTAAATATAAACCCCTGGGTATTTGAATTCACTCGGCTCATCAGTATCCAGTTCTATTTCGTTACCTTGTTACTTATAACCAAAATCTCAGTGCTCCTATCAAAATTTCCTATTAAGCCAAAACAAACGCAAAATCGGAGGTTTTTTCTGTTAATTAATGTATCAGTTTAATTTAATTTGTGGTGATTAGTTGATTAAGGATTAACAAATTGAGTTATTTGACAAGGTAACTTATAACACAACAAAGTAAAAATATTTTTTAACGCGTCTTCATTCAAAGTCAAATATTTCCTTTGTCTTTTTTTTCCACGTGATTTTTATCGCAACAAACAACAACAATAACAATAATAAAAGTCATATTCAAGTACAATGTTGTTTGCATCTAACAAAGAAATACCAAGGACGCGTCTTTGTACACAAGTTGGCAGCGACGCAATTTATGAATCATTATATTTCCATACACAATTATAATTATTATTATAATTATATTTTGCAAAATTATTTATAATATATAAAAAAAAAAAAATTAGTTATTAAAATTTTCAATTTTCAAGTTTCAATTCAAAATTCTAGGTCAAATATTGAAAATACGAAGGAATTCTCTTTTTTTATGAAAAATTTTTTTATCTGCAAAAAAGCTCTAATAAATTTTATCGTTTCTTCACCCCCGAGCTAAAATTTTAAAAATAAAGACAAATTTTCACCATCTTGTAGAACTATAAACTTTTAAATTTTTATTATTTTCATTGTTGTTATTTAATAAATTTTAAATTTCATTGAGCCAAATTTAGGGTATGCAAATCAACAAGTGGATTGGCCGAAGTAACAAAAGCTAGAAAGGGAAAAGGGAGCTTGGTGAATTAAACAGGGAGAGTTTGAGAGTTTGATAGAGCCTGAAGCTACTTTGAGGTCGTATCATAACATCGAGTGTTTTAAACCCGCGTTAAACTGACGCGTCTCGACGGTCTGACGTCAGAGTCGACGCAAAAACATCACGAGTTTTATAGTTTTTCAAGTCGTGTTGAGATCAATGACGGATCTTTTTTTTTAAATTAGATATATTATGTTAAATGTTTTTATTTTAAACTCAGACTACTTGATTAAAGAAGAATGTTGTCAAGAAAATTTAACTCTAGCTTAGAGACTGCCTAATATTTATCTAATGCAATTTTAATAATATTCGATAAAATATTTTGATCAGAATTCATTTTTAAGATAGTTTGGTTCCTTATATATATATATATATATATATACTCTGGTTAGATTTTTGTGCAAGCGAGAAGCCGTAGCCATCTAGCGGTGAAACCAAGAACTATTTCTTTAATAAAAATTACCTATTAAATTCATATTATTCAAATTAAACTCATAAGTTCCTTATATATATTCTGGTTAGATTTTTGTGCAAGCGAGAAGCCGTAGCCACCTATTGGTGAAACCAAGAACTATTTTTTAATAAAAATTACCTTCTAAATTCATATTATTCAAATTAAACTCATAAGTTCCTTATATATACTCTAGTTAGATTTTTGTGCAAGCGAGAAGGTGTAGCCACCTAGCGGTGAAATGAAGAACTATTTTTTAATAAAAATTACCTATTAAATTCATATTATTCAAATTAAACTATTAAAATGAGTTTTAAGACTAAAAATTTTTGAATCAAGACATAAAATTATTTTTAATCATTTTTTTTTTTAATTAGAAACGAATCTAATACTTAATAATAATTTTATACTTAGCCCAAAATTTCTTGTAAATTATTTCATTTAAGAATTTTGTATAAAAATTTTTTTATCAAATTAATTAAAAATTTTGAATATTATTTTTTTTTATAACAGAAAAAAATGGAGCAGTTTGAACAACTGCTAACATGCGCGATCTGTTTAGATCGATATCGAAATCCAAAACTTTTACCATGTCAACACAGTTTTTGCATGGAACCGTGCATGGACGGACTTGTCGACTACGTCAGAAGACAGGTCAAGTGTCCAGAATGCCGAGCGGAACATCGTATACCTTATCAAGTAAGTTTTTTATTTTTAATTTTACATTTTTTAGCTTCTATTATTAATAAAGATTAACGATAAAAATTTTAATCGAAATAAGGGTGTACAAGCATTTCCAACAAACGTAACCCTCCAACGGTTCCTGGAACTGCACATAGAAATAACCGGAGAACTGCCAGATCCGACCAGCGGCCAGACCATGGAACGATGCGGCGTCTGTTCGGAAAAGAGCTATTGCTCCCTCTGTGTTCACTGCGATAAAAAGTGCTGTCCGGAGTGCAAGGACGCACATATGGATATCCTTCGCCGTGAAATCACGAGGATCAATTCACAGGTAATTAAACTACTTTAAGTTAATAAGTAATTATTTATTTAGTGTTGAGAAAAGAATAAATTTTATAATTTTATTATTTCATTTTTTTTTAATTTTTCACTAATGGAAAATTGAGATTAATAGAAATAAAAATTTTATTCTGGAATTGGAAAAAAAGTATCAATTATCTAAATGACCTTGTATCTTGTGAACTATTGACATTTTTAAAGATATAAGCTCATCCCGAGATTACACTTATCGAGACCTTTCATTTGAGTACCCACATCAATTTTTCATATATTTTATATATTTATATATATTATATATATGTATATATGAAAAATATATAAAAAATGCATGTGTGTACTCAAATGAAAGCTCTTGATGAGCGTAACATCGGAATGAGCTTATATCTTTAAAATATATGATATAGTACAGTGCAATTTAACAATTAAAACAAAAGTCATTATTTAATAAAGCGAAATTTTATTTATTTATAGATAGTGACTGCAAGATTGTTAGTTTTATTTAAAAAATTAGGAAGAAAAAAAATGACAATTTTTTTTTTAAATAGCAATTAGATAAAAATTTTGATAATTTTTTTGAGAAATTAATAATTAGAAAAAAATGTTTTTTTTTTTTAACTCATCAATTAGAAAAAAATATTGATAATTATTCTGGGAAATTAATAATTAGAAAAAAGTAAATTATTTTTTTTTTTTAAATTGTCAATTACAAAAAAAAATAATAATTTTTTAGAAAAATTAATGATTAAAAAAAGAACAATACAATGTTTGCAAATTTTACAATGAAAAAATTAATTTTCTGAAAAATATAAATTTTAATAATTATAATTACTAATTAGAACAAAAATCATCAATTTTCTTAATTAAAATCAATAACTATCAGAAGAATCCTCATTTCTAAAAAAACTAAAAAAAAAATCTTCGATTTTCTTAGCAGGAAGTTAAAAAAAAAGAATAAATTACCAATTTAAAAAAAAAATTTAACAAATTAATAAAATTAGTCTTGAAAATACTATTACCGTCTCTTATTGAAACAAATTGGACAGGAGACGAGGGTGAGCAGTGACCAGTGAAATGACAAAAAATTACAGCTATTAATAATAATTAATGATAATTACCTCGGCAAAATTTTTGGCACGTCTGACGTTTTCCTGAAATTGACCTTGGATATTCCCAGGTGGATTATAAAAGCAGACGATGTAAACCTTATTGGATTCACTTCTTGCCATTCCGCACCCCATTGTCTCGGTGCTGCCCCACACCAACTGTGTAAAGTGACCTACTTCCGGTAAATTATCCGGAGACGGTTCGTCAAACTTGTACGAGTTTATCTCATTGTACCTATTGTCAAAGTTTCAATACTCTTTAATAGACACTTACTCTTACGGATCATTATTATTGTTGTTGTTGTTGTTGATAATGATTTGCTTGGGTAATATTACCACGACTCGACGACTTGCTGTGAGTTAGCCTCACTTCCGACGTATTGGTTCTCCCCGTAAGAGTTGTTTGGCCTCCGCTCAAATACATCCCGGGTTGCCAAATCTTCGGCCCATTCCGCGGCTAACTTATTCAACTACAGTGTAATTATTATAATAAATTGCATTGATATTGTAATTTTTGTATTTATGATCTTTGATAAGTTTATTGCGTGATTTTTTATAAAAAAATTATTTAATTTTGAAAAATTAAATCTTCAGGTCAAAAAATCAATAAGATAAGATAAAATCTCAAAATTATGAACTAAATATAAAAAATATAAACAATTTATAAGTAACCTTTTTTGTATAAAATTTAATTTTCCATCAATAAGGTTATCATCAATTTTCCTCTATCTTTTATCATTTAGCCATAATTAATAATTAATTAAATTTTTTTTAATAGAATTAATATGATGAATTGAATTTTTTTAAATTTAATTATAATCAATTTGATTTTTCTTCATTTAATTATAATTGATAAATTAACAATTAAGGTAAGAGCCCCCATTATTGACACTATAAGAGTGACGGCGAACATTTGAATTTTTTAACCGTATTCAAATTAATCTGACTAATTTTTTTTTGTATTAGACTCTTTTTTTGATTCATCAACTTGTGTATTTTAATTTTTATACTTAAATAGTCGTTAATTAAATGACAAATATATTACTTTGAAATCAGCATCTCAAGTGTAGGTATTATTGACATGGTGAAATGGTATCGGAGCCAACTATTGACACCCATAGACCCTATTATTGACAGGTGTCAACCCTATTATTCAGGTTTAATTGAAATTTAAACTTCGAATATAATTTATTATTTACTAGTAAACAACAATATTTTGCTCAGACAATTCTTTTTTTATTATAAAATTACGCGAGACAACATGTAAACAAATCCGCTATGTATGTTAAAGAGTTTAAGTTTCTTAAAATTGTAGGCTGTCGCTAGTTAAACACATGTTAATTTTTGTACCTACTATTGACACCCGCTATTTTTAAATCATAATTAAAATTTATCAGCTTAAAACAATAAATCTAAGATTATTTAGAGTTTAAATAACTTCAAATAATTTTGGATGATAGGCTTTTATCAGAATTATATAGAAAATTTCGCTATTTAAAATACGCTCTCTCTTATCGAAATTGTTAAGAAATTTTAAATAAACTAGCCGTAGTGGTCTACTCGGAAAAATAAAATTTTTTTGCAGTTTATAATTAATACCCAGGCATAAAATTTGACTTTTTTCTTACTAAAAAATTTCTAAAAATTGATAAAAAGCAATGTTTATTGTGATTTAATCATAAAATTGATTAAATAATCAATAAAATAAAACAACATGTCAATAATAGGGGCCCTGTCAATAATAGGGGCCTTTACCTTATACTTTTTAGTGTAGGAAGAAAACTTTGAAATTCTAAAAATATGAAAAAATTACAAAAAACCTTTTTTTTTTAGGAAATTAGATCCTCTATTAAAAAAATTCTTATCAATTTTTGCGTATCTCTAATTTTTCAGCCAAAAATCTTATAATTTACCTCATCATCAATTTTGAGATTTTGTGAATCATGTTCAAATCGGAATTTGTTATGCCACTCCAAAATTTCATCCCTAAAATTTTGAATCCTAAAATATAATATAAAATCCGGTTTAATTATTAACATTTAATTATTTTTTATTAAATTAATTGTAACTTACTCAGCCATAATTGAATTTTATGTAAGTTCCCAAAAGTTCAATTTAAAATGAGGTTACAAAAAAAAATGACTATCACTAATTCAATAACAAATAAATAATTAAATAATTATTAAATAATAATGATAATTTTCAGATAAGACGTGGCTTACACCGTTTGCAAGACGCATTGGCTCTAGTAGAAAAAAACACCCTGAGCCTGCAAACAAACTGCGCTTCTGTCGCGGAGGAGGTCGACGAGATCTACAGACGACTCAGCAAAGCCCTTAAGGACAGAACCGAGCACCTGAGGAACGAAATTGATCGTTACTCCGGCACAGAATTGAGACTCTTGATCCAGTTGAAAGAGAATTTGGAGCTGGAAATCGCAAATATTCAGAGCAATTGCGATCTTGCTGAGGCTCATATCAATGAAAATGTTCCTTGGGACGACGCGGAACTTCTAGACACCAAAGAACTGTTCCTTCGCACGGTTGAATTCATCAGGTAATTATTAATTATTAATTAATTATTGTAGTCTTAAGTTGATCTTGATCTTGATGGTAATTTTGGTTCCGGTGTTCCAGGAACTACGAGTATGAATTGGGTGATTACGGACGGAGAGTAAGATTTGTAATGGCGCACGAACCCAATCAGTTGGTTCTGCACGTGGCCGGTTACGGCGAGCTCAATATCAAGCCGGAAACAGGCAGCACCGGGCACTTAGGAACCACTGGAGGATTAGCGCCCCCTGGGGGTTCTCCAGGGCTGATGAGAAGTAAGAGTGATCATCGGCTAGCTTCACAGTATCGTCAAGAAGAGGAACGATTGTCGAGGAACCGATATGTTCCTGATTATGAGTAAGTTTTAATAATAATTATTATTTTTTTTAGATTCGTACTATCTTTAAGTATACTTTTGTTTAGTTTGAGTTTTTAAGTCCTTGTAGTTTTTTTTTTTAATTGGCAAATTAATGTTCGAACTGAGTTAGAACGATCAGCTGTTTATCTTCAGCCATGTTTGTTTCTTCCAGTGGCGCAATTTGAAATTTAAATTTGAAAATTTACGCGCCAAATTTGGCGCTTTTTTTTTAATTTAAATATTCTTTTTTTATAGGAGAAATTTTTATCATGTTTGAATATTGAGATTTTAAATATATTAAGGAAATTATTTTTGGATAATAATTAATCACTAATTTTCCATGAAATAAAATCCTGATTATTATTTACCAATTCAATCCATTAATTAGAAAAAATTTAACGAAATGAAAAAATATAATTGAAAGTCAAGTCAAATTTAATTAATGAGTGTCCTTAATTAATATTAATAAAGGGAAACAATGACCACTTTAAATAAAATAATGAACTTATAGGGCCCAAAATTTACTTTAAAATAAATAGTCACATGTCTAGATTATCTTGAAAATATCAGACCGTGAAAAAACGCAAAATAGAAAAAAAAAACTTCCAAATGATGAGTGAAAAAATTTTTTCTTATATTTCATTGTCATCAAATTAATAAGAAGTACTTTAAATTGCATTTTTATGTTTTAATAATAGTAATAATAATTTTTAGATTTGTACTATCTTAAAGTATAATTTTGTTTAATTTGAGTTTTTAAATCTTAGTAGTTTTTTTTTTTAATTAGCAAATTAAAGTTCGAACTGAGTTAGAACGATCAGCTGTTAATCTTCAGCCATTTTTGTTTCTTCTGTTGTAAATTCTAGTGGCGCAATTTGAAAATTTACGCGGTAAATTTGGCGGCTTTTTTCAAATTTAAACATTCTTTTTTATGGAAGAAATTTTTATCATATTTAAATATTGAGCTTTTAAATGAATTAATGAAATTGTTTTTGGATAATAATTAATTATAATTAGTATACTAATTCAATCCATTAATTAGAATAAATTTAACGGAATGAAAAAAAAATAATTAAAAGTCAACTCGAGATAAATTAATGTGTCCCTAATTTAATATTAATATTGGGAAAAAATTACTACTTTATTCAATTAATTTGGTTTAATTTAAATTTTTACAATACTAATAATAATAAAATAATGATCTTATAGGGCCCAAAATTTACTTTAAAATTAATACCCATAGGTCTAGATTATCTTGAAAATATCAGACCGCGAAAAAGCGCCGAATTGGAAAAAAAATTTCCAAATTATGATTAAAAAAATTTTTTCTTATATTTTATTGTCATAAAATCAATAAAAAATACTTTGAGTTGCATTTTTATGTTTTAATAATAATAAATTTAGTAATTAGGGCTAAAAAAAATAATAATAAACTGTAATAATCTGTAAAATAAAAAATGATCGCACACTTCCGACCTCAGCTTGAATACAACTGTCACGATTATTGGAAATACTCTTTATCGTACAAATTTTCAATTGCCAGTAGGTAAAGAAAGGAAAAAAAAGATGGAAAAAAAGGAAAATAAGTAAAGCAAGAGTAACAAAATAAAAATAAAGAGAAACAGAAAGGTTGAAATAAAATAAAATGTTATATATAAAATGAGAACGATGTTCTCGCATTCAAGTCCCTTCGATAGATTTCGACAAACGAAGCACGTTCGAAACGTGTAGTGGCCTGTAAAAAGTATTCGATCCCCATCGCAGATTATTCTGGCCTACAGCCAAATGTTAACTCCCCCATCCCATCTCTCCCCAACCTTTTTATTTTATTTTATTTTATTTATTTACCTTTTTTTACTCATCTATAAATTTTAACAGACACAACTTGCTTTTTTTAGATTGACCCAAATATTTATCGCTGTAAATTATTTCACACCGGCGTCCCATTTTATTATATGTTAACGCGACTTTTAATTTTTAGTTTTTCTACAAGACAAAAAATATAACAAAGAAAAAAAAAGTAAATGTCTCTATTTCTCAATCGGGGAATAAACTTTTTCGAGTTCGATTAATTATTCATTACATTACGTATGCCACTCTAATAATCAGCGCTCAGAACTTTTTAATTATATTTAACTTAAACTTTTAACATTTTTAAATTTATATTCATTATTTTTTTTGTAAAAAAAAATTTTTGGCTTTGTTCTTTCAAGATTTGTTGAGAAAGTTCGTACGTGAGACTTAGTAGTCCATAAAATAGAAATAGTAATATTAATAATAACTATAAACTAGCAACCTGCAGTAACAATTTATTGATGATTATCCATATTAAGGTAAAAGCCCCTATTATTGACATGTTGTTTTATTTTATTGATTATTTAATCAATTTTATGATTAAATCACAATAAACATTGCTTTTTATCAATTTTTAGAAATTTTTTAGTAAGAAAAAAGTCAAATTTTATGCCTCGGTATTAATTATTAACTGCAAAAAAATTTTATTTTTCCGAGTAGACCACTACGGCTAGTTTATTTAAAATTTCTTAACAATTTCGCTAAGAGAGAGCGTATTTTAAATAACGAAATTTTCTATATAATTCTGATAAAAGCCTATCATCCAAAATTATATGAGGTTATTTAAACTCTAAATAATCTTAAATTTATTGTTTTAAGCTGATAAATTTTAATTATGATTTAAAAATACCGGGTGTCAATAGTAGGTACATAAAAATTAACATGTGTTTAACTAGCGACAGCCTACAATTTTAAGAAACTTAACCTCTTTAACATACATAGCGGATTTGTTTA